AGCCTTTTGCCACGTTTCCTTCCCTTAGACGCTGATGAAAACCATCTTTCCCTCCAATAATTCAAATTTCAAAATGGTCTTCATCCCATGTGCCAAGGCGCGAACACTTCCCTTCAGTCGAAACAACCTACATCTGCCTTGGTCGAATGAACCTTTGGTCAAAGCTTTCTTATCATATCTTGGATCCTTTTCCTTAATTTATCTCATGCGTCGAATTACACCTCCTGGTGTAGTTCATTTCCAGTTGTTTAGTCAAAGAGACCAAATATAGCAAGTGTCGAATTTGGGAGCCAACAAATTTCCCCCCAAGAATGTCTATTTCGACGCCCAAAGAAATAGCCATTCTTTAAACTTCCCATTCGACACCTGTCTTACCAGTTGTCCACCAGGCTTTGACGTGTACCTTTCGCCTTCCAACAGCTGCTATATTTGATAAAACCATCATTACTTTTTTTTCAAAATGTCTCTTCAAAACTGCTGTTACCACGCTCGCCATGATGGCCTCGTTCCTATAATCTAGGCAAGCATGTCCCAACGTTTCCCAACGCCTGCATGGTAATCGTTTCCTGCCTCGCCACGTGCCCCACTACCTGTGAAACATTAAATGCTTTTGACGAGACATTTCCCACTTCTGAAGGCTATAAATACTTCCAAACTTCTCTATTTTGAACTTTTATCATCCTCAGCTTTTCCAAACCCCTTGCATTCTCACAACACCGTATTGTCATCTTCGCTCTTTCTCTTAAGTCTTTAACAATGGCCTTTCTCTCTAATGCCCCAAACAATCCGCAACCAAAGAATGCTAATGATGTTCAGAAACCACCAGAGATTTTTTCTATCAACCCTCCTTCTTCCTCGCCTAACAAGTACATTGTTGAACCTATGGGAGAAGGGCGAGAAGCCTATGATTCTCAACTCCTTATTCCCGTCAGATATGGCGGAAAGATGTATGCTATGTCCGACCCATTATCTTCATGTGTCGAAAATCCCTTAAAAAACAGTGCCTTTTTCCCTACACATCCAAGGCTTAAACCCATAAGTTGTGCCAAAAAACCTAGGGCAGATGCTAAAGATGCTACACCGGCTAACCAGCAATATCCTCAAACTACTGATGATATCAACCTCCAGTTCATGAATAAAGGGAATCGCATCTTTCGATCAAGCCCTAACCTTTCTTCTGAATACTCCGACTGGTTGAATAAATCGGAGAGGGTGCAAGCTTCTATCTGGAAGGAGATGGGCATCTATGACTTAGTGATGTTTGAAACAACCGGCTGAAAATCATCAAAACAATGAAGTCGCCATCGAACGTCTTTTATCCCACAGGTAGGGAAAGGTAAACATCGAGAAAACCTGAGAAGAGAGAAGTCACAGTCTTGCGACCGAGAGATCGGGTAAGGGAGTCTGTTACGCGAGGGGAAGGTATTAGCACCCCACACGCCCGTAGTACTCTACGGTATCCACTCTTGTTATCTATCTTATGGGTGTGTTTAATCTATGCTTACTGTTTACTATACTACTGGAGGAATGCATGCAAAATAAAGGGGAAAAGAATGTAGGGAAAATAAAATTGTGCTCGTTCGGGCCCTACCCTGATGCCTACGTATCCCTTTTAAGGAATCAGAGCAGCCGTAGTTCGGCTTATGTTTTTGTTTGTTTGTATTTTCTTTAATGAACAATATTAATTTCGCCTTCTGCCGCAACTCGACCTTTGGAGACTTACGCGTCAGCACAGAAGTGAATTAACATGCTCTCTTGAAAAGTTTGGAAAGAAATGTGCCTGGACGCACAAAAGTTTGAATTTATTTGTTTGTAATGAACGATATTAATTTCTCCTTCTGCCGCAACTCGACCTTTGGAGACTTACGCGTCAGCACAAAAGTGAATTAATATGCTTCTTTTGGAAAGGTTTTGAAAGAAAGGCCCGAAGGCAGAAAGAGTTTGTATTGGTTGATATTTTTGCTTGTGGATAATAGCTAGTTAATCTCAAGAGAGAGATTTTATCCATTTCTCCGCTTATTCGTGAAATGATTCTTTGAGATTTGAACCATGCCAAGGCTTAGAATAAGAGAATGATAAGATCGAGAAAAAACCCGCTTATCATCTCCCAAACTTAACAAAGACATGATTCTTGTCAGTAAATTTTTAAGTATTTTAAGGTTTGTAAAAAAAGAAATTTTTGTTTTAAATGCATATGAAAAAAGGGAAAGAAAAGTCAAAGGGGGACTAGCTTATTTCAAAACCTAATGTTATTGTGTATTAGACCTAAAGTTACATGTTTCAAAAGAATTCTACCTGATGTTCGCATGCATAGCTTGCAGTAAAGTCCTGTTTCTCCTGATTTCTAGAAAAGCAATAAAGTACGAGAATGGGGAATAAAATGAGGTTGTGGAGATACCAAGCGAATAAGAGTTCGTAATACAACAAGCAAAGCAGAGAAGCCTGGAAAACTTCGAATAAGATCTGAATCATCATGTGATAGTCCTGCATGAAGATATAAGATTTATACAAGGCAAAAAAATACTCCGCTAACGACTCATGGTACGAGAAATCTCTGTTGAAACCCTTAAACCACTCATTAGGCCAAAGAAATTTATTCGAAGATACAGAATCACCAAGAATGTGCTAAAGTCCTAATTCTAATCATGTACCAAACATTAATTCAATTAATTCCTAAACCAATAGAAAAATTATGAAAAAAAATATTATCAAGTCAAGAATCAACATATTAATACCCACACAAAATTCCAGCAAAAAATCATGGGAGGAAGTATCAATGTTAATTGCTAGAAAATCAAAGGATTATGATGAAATTAACATGAAACAAGGTGGTGTCAGGACTGAAATAGTGGTGTGAATAATGCTGGCCCATGCTGAAAAGCCCATAAGCATTTTTCTTCTTCTTTCAATTATTTAAGTTTTGTCAAAAATTCTTAATGGACCCAAAAGAAGGGGTTGCCCTGTCCAACAAGTCCCATTCTTCTCTAATTTCCAGCATTATTATTAATTTGACTTAAAAAAAGAAAACAATAAAATAATTAAAACTAAAAGGAATAAACATGTGAAATTAAAAAAAGGGTTTAGGGTTGAGGAACAAATCCGTCTCTTCATCTCTCTCACGAAGCTTGGTGGCGCCGCTCGTCTCTTTTCCTCTTCTTCGATTCATACATCCAACTCCGGTGTCGAAGCTCCGCTCACCTTTGTCTTCGATGCCACTGTTTCGTTCTTCTTCAATCTCTCGCCGCCGTGGTCATCATCACCTTTGACCTCGATCTCATTTCTTCATCCAAGGTCCCATATGCTTTAGCTTGAACTTGCCTTCGTCTTCAACTTTAAACAAGGGCGAACAACACCGGCATGAGACACGGTTAGACACGGTTCATCATCTTCTTCGATCAGTTCCAAACCACTACCTGTTTCACACCCTCCGTACAATTTGAACAAAGTGGTGATAACAACAAACATAGCGGAAATGGAATCCCTGAGAGAAGAATTCGAGAACGGATTCGATATTATGAGCCAGATCGGAATTTGAGGAGGTCATGTCGGAATTGCTCCGACTGTACTTCCAGCACGCCGAAGATAAATCAAATCCCCAAATTCAGGTATATTCATCTTTTCCTACTCTCGTTTATTTCCTCTTCTTCCGATTTTCTGTTGCAAATCGTTATGTGATGTTGTTGTTGCAATTCAGAATGCTTGAAGATCTCAGAATCAATGATGAAGATGTGAGATGAAGCAGAAGATTGGCGAGAATTTCAGAGGGAGAGAGAATTCTTGTGAAGATTTCTTGGTGGTCATGGAGAAGGAAGCAGAGGGGAGACGGTGGAGAAGAAGTGGTTATTATTGAATGATAATTGAAGGAGATGAAGATGAATTCAGAGGGTGAATATGGAAGAGGGTGCCGAGAGTTTTTCTTTTGTTTCCGGAGGTTAATGCGGTTTTCTAAATGCTGATGAACATAGAAAATGAAAATGATGAGAAGACGACGATTTACACCAAAAATGAATCAGTCTGAAGTTTGAAGCAATAAAAAAAGGCTCAGCAATTTGAAGAGAAAAATAAAGGTAAGCCTTCAAGCTTTTTCTATGATCTTTTTTTTTTAGTAATGAATTCTGATTTGATGCAGAAACGCTGCCACAACGTGTTGTTGTTGTTTGAAGCAGGGCTAATGAAGTTGATGGTGTTCATGGTTCTGTGATGAGGATTAAGGAGGTGAAGTTATGGTGAAGATCATCGCGATTGAAGAATCGTGAAGATTCAAATGATGATGAGGATTGAAGGGAGATGAAGATGATGACTGAAGCGGTTTTCAGAGAGAAAGGGATTGAGAATTTTTCTGGAGTTTTTTTTGTGGATGAAGATGAGACACCTTCTTCTGTGGAATTTATGAACAAAAACCCTCCCCCCAACCAAGGTGAATTTACTCTATCTTATACTGTAGAGCTGTTAGGAGTTTGGTTATAAAATTCTGTTATGGAATCAGTTAAAATTAGTTGTCAAAAATTCTGTTATGAGGAAGTTGGTTAAGTTTGTGAAAGTTAGTTAAAAAATGCTAGAATTCAGTTAGGACAGTTGAATGAGTTAATTAGAAATTGGTTAGGCGGTTAGAAGGTAGAAACTGTTATAGGAGTTTGTTACTCTTTTAGGAAAATTAGTTGTTAATTCTGTTTGGCAGTCAGAGGGTTTGTTAATAGTTTGTTAGGAAATTTATGTTAGAATTCTGTTAGAAAATTTTGGTTAGAAGTTTGTTATGGTTACAAGTTAGTTATGAACTGTTAACTGTTTATTGATTTTTGCTTTTTAATCTTTCTATGCAGGGCTGAACTGGTTGCTTTTGTATTGGGTTCAAATTTTCCATTTAACTTACAAAATAAGTTTTCTTTAAAACTAGAAGGATCCCATGTCGGGGGTTTAAAGTACGTATCGTAATTTCAACTGATGGATGGCATCGCGAAGCTTCCTCAGCAACGTTGCCTACTGACCCGCCACAAAACGTCCTAACTCTCCTCTTCTCCAGCACCTTTTGCACCAAGCAATAGATATATACCTCCATCCCTTAACAACAATTCAGTTAGAAGATGCTTCAACCTCAAGTTTCTCTGCCTTTGCTGATCAACATTACCTCTACCAGTCCATGACAACTGCCCACCACCAACTGCAGCAGCAGCTTGTGCATAATATTCTACTGCCATCTGGAGATCACCAAGGCGCAAATACATAGATCCATATTTCCTGACAATGGTGGCTACTTCTGCATAAGCATCCATCGCCCCCAATTTTTTTCCAATACCGGCCCCTTCAGAAAGGACCCTGTGATCAGCTAGCACAATTGATAGGTGGGCAGCATCAATATCCTTCATCTCCTGTTTCCTTAGACAGGTATAATACAGCCGGAAGCAATTAAATGCTTAAAAGCAAGGTATAAGAATATACCAGAGGATCTTTTTCCATTTTTTGTATAGTATGATGATTCAAATTTATTCAGGTAACTTTGCAAATCATCCAAAGTGTATGGAATCACACTGTCACTTAGAACAAGGGATGAAGATCCACTTGGGCAGTCCCGCACAGCCGACAACTTGAACCACAAGAAATCATCTATCGAACTAAAAAGATTCTGTTGATCTCTAAGCAGGTAATCAATATGTCTTCGAGAACCTGATATGATGGCATGATTGCTTGTATTGACTTGGATTTTTTTGTATAAATGTGCAGGTCATGAACTGAAGATGAAGAACTTTGGCATGGCATGGAATTGGAAGTTTACTCATGGAATTTTAACAACTTTAGGACTAAGGAATTTTGTTCAAGTGTATTTTGTAACCGTTTTCTTTTCTTTGTAGAATATTGGTGTAATGGGATTGTAATGATTTTATAATGAATGTTTGATTTGGATGAACTTGAAATTTATAGTGTGAATTGTAAATGACCTTTGAGCTTGAAATGTTGGGTGATGAATTTTAAGGACGAGGTTTAAATGACAAAGTCTTGAAAAAATGCTTGAAGACATGAAAGCATCAAATTTTCTTGTAAGGTATTGTTACACTTGAATGAAATTGAATGGAATTGGATAGTATTTTTTGAATCATGAATGAAAGGGTTCGAATAAACTTTGAACACATGTGAACTTGAATCTGGAATAACGGCGAACATCTTTGTAATGCATATGAACTCTGACTTGAAACAAAACCTCGCAGTCTGTACTTTACCTTCCAAGAAAGCCATTTGACCAATACTTAAGACTCTCTGCCGACTTTAATTCAACCAAACACTTTCGAACATCTTGAACTCAAATCAAACTTCAAATCCAAATCACACTTGCATTCTCAATGAACTTCTAACTTCAATCTGGAATGACAAATAATTTGAATAGCCAATGAGATCTTGATCCTAAAAATTCACAACCTCGCCCTTTTGCATCATGCCTCATCCTACGATTCAATCCACAAGTCTCTTATCTCGACGAGGTCCTTCTCTAATTGACGACCTTTAATCATCAAAGATGTACACAAATGATAATGAAAGAACATGATCGAGATTAACATGAAACCTTATTTCCCCTGATCTTCAAGTACTTGAACATTTATCAATGAATAGAAACCCTGATTTTTAATGAAATCTTCCTTTTCTGAACCAATATTTGTTTTCCTTTACCATACTATTCTTCAAATGCAACTCGAATTCCCAACACATATTAGATGAAAATTCAAGGGAGACCTTGGCCCCAAAGTTAATTGTTCAAAGCTTACTTTAACCGAAGTCAACAGATCTTATCCTCGTATCTTTGAACTTGGCCCATGATTATGCATCTCAAGGTCTCATAAGAGCTTGTAAGCCCATCAACCAGGTATTCCATGTTGAACAAAACCTTGCCTTGAATGCCTTGAACCTTTAATTACCTTGCATGAATTCTTCCCTGAGAAACCCACTTCAATCCCAACCTACTCGCATCGCAGATAACAAATGACAATGATGAGGACAATGATTGCCTTGGTTAAGGAGAAATATATGAATTCATATCTTAGGTCATGAACCACGCTTCACAATTCAATCCCCAGCCCTTAGCGATCGGTTATTTCAACTTGAAATTAGCGTCATAAGGAACATCTTACAGAGGGATGATAAAGTCTGAATCACAGAAGAATTCCCTTGACGTGAAACCTAGTTGCACAAATGAAAACCCCAGCACTTGCCAAGACTGGATAAAAGCAATTATATCTTGAAGAGAAAGAAATCATGTTAACCACACCTCACAATCTTGATTCCCCGTTTAGATGCACAGAGAAATATCCGGATAAAACATCTTTAAACCATGATTCAACAAAATCTAAATTGATTAACTCAGGAGTAGATGAATGTCATGTCACAATCATTAATCCTAATCAAATGACAAGCATACTTATAGGAAAGGATGCCATGCTTCAAAGTCCACATATGCTAGGTCACGTCCTAGAGTTCTTGACCAGAATGACCTACAACCAGTTGTTCATCAAAAGATATTAGCCCAATAACTTGGTGGAGAAGAAGTCCAGAAATGAGCCTAAAAAACCTAATTCCAAAGCTTGTTGCATGAATAAGAAATCATCCTTTATTGGATACGAGCGCCTTAACCACTGTGAAACCCTAGTATCGCACAACCACTGAACTTTGAACCTCAAAGCTATATTGAATGAAATGTATGCCATGTTAGTGACCTAATGAAATAGATGCAGATGAATGCAAAAGTCTAAGCCAAAAAAGTGCAATTAGGAGGGCAAATTTTGGGGTGCAACAGCTGCCCCTATTTAATCGCCTTCAATCCTGAAGGTGAGATTGGCGTCAGCCTTTCGAACTTTCAGGGTGGAAGAAGATTAAATACTAAAAGAACCCGAAATTTCGCGCTCCGAAGCCAGTCATGTATTATTATATCTTTGGTTTTTCTGTATCTTCTGTATATTTTTTTTTGGTAAAAAGGATTATCAGGGTTAGATGTATGCTTAACCAGAGTTTGACACACCGAAGGGTAACTTGGTTATCGAGGAACTCTGTTGGGATTTAGTATCAAACACCTGTAAGAAAGATATCAAAAGATATATGCCTGGAGTCTGTAGCAGACATACGAAAAGAAGTATCAGAGACACATATCCGTGGTCGGTATCGGATACGTATGACAGAGACATCAAAGATACATATCCGTGGTCGGTATCGGATACGCACAACAGAGACATCAAAGATACATATCCGTGGTCGGTATCGGATACGCACAAAAGAGACATCAAAGATACATATCCGTGGTCGGTATAGGATACGCACAAAAGAGACATCAAAGATACATATCCGTGGTCGGTATCGGATACGCACAAAAGAGATATCAAAGATACATATCCGTGGTCGGTATCAGATACGTATGACAGAGACATCAAAGATACATATCCGTGGTCGGTATCAGATACGTAAGAAAGAGATAGAAAAGATACATATCCGTGGTCGGTATCGGATACGCACAGAAGAGACAGACCGAAGAAAGCTCTTACAAAGAAAACACCAATCGAAGGTGAACCTACTGAGGGAAGAGACCAAACGAATGGGACTCCTGACAAATGATACCAGTCGACGATGGATTTTAACAAACGATACCAGCCGAAGCGGGGTTTTGAAAGAAATGACACCGACCGAAGCGGGATTTTAACAAAGGGTACCAGCCGAAGCAGGATTTTGAAAGGTACCAACCGAAGCAGGATTTTGAAAGGATGCCAGCCGAAGGTGGACTTTAGGATAAAGAGACCAGCCGAAGGGGAATCTTCATCGAGGAATACTATGCCGAAGGTAGATTTCTAAGAAAAGAACGCCGGTCGAAGGGGAACTTACAACTGCAAAGAGACCAGCCGAAGGGGACTCTCAACAAATGATACCAGTCGAAGGTGGATTTTAAAGGATGCCAGCCGAAGGTGGACTTTAGGATAAAGAAACCAGCCGAAGGGGAATCTTCATCTAGGAATTCTATGCCGAAGGTAGATTCCTAAGAAAAGAACGTCGGTCGAAGGCGAACTTACAACTGCAAAGAGACCAGCCGAAGGGGACTCTCAACAAATGGTACCAGCCGAAGGTGGATTTTAAAGGATGCCAGCCGAAGGTGGACTTTAGGATAAAGAAACCAGCCGAAGGGGAATCTTCATCCAGGAATACTATGCCGAAGGTAGATTCCTAATAAGAGAACGCCGATCGAAGGCGAACTTACAACTGCAAAGAGACCAGCCGAAGGGGACTCTCAACAAATGATAAAGGTATGCATATCTGGTCAGAGTTATACACAAGAGCGAAATTGATCATCAAGAAACAAATGTTTAGAATTGCTAGCGAACACAGGAACGAGGCTAACCGAAGAAAGCCCCAAAAAAAAGGACGCATTCGCCTAAACAAGGGCGCCAGACAACTGGACTTTGAAGAGACATTGAAAGACTCTTAATCATAAAAAGTTAGCTAGGCTAATGAAAGGAGGACTCGACTAACGTGGATAAACCAAAACAAGGAACCGACTAAGCAGGACCTTCAAAGAGCACCGGTCGAATGTGAACTCTACAAGAGAAAGGGACCGGTCAAAGCAGACTTTAACAAAGAAAAACATGTTAGGCTTTCGATAGGCTGCAAATACGCAAGAACTAAAAAATCCCCCAGACCAAAGGCGGGATGTTTAATTCTTCAAGAGTGGCAATTGTCAGAATTACCACACACCAAGTATGGATACTCAAACACTTGAAAAGCAAGAAAGGTTATAAGCCAACTCTTACTCATACTCTAACGACAAAGCAAATGCGGGTAAAATAACCGAAGGCTTGCAAAGAAAAGCGCAAACCACAAACTTATTGGGGAAATGGAGAAATACCAAAGACCCGACTGGTGGTGAATCCAAACAAACTCTGCTGGGGAAACATAATAGAATTACCCTAGGCTTCTCTATAGAGATAAATCAAATCTGAGCGCATAACAATCTGGTTGCCACAGGTGGGCACAATTGGCTTATACTCATGCATGTTTGAACATTTTTTATAGCGTGACGCTCCATGCAATGGAAGTGCTACGCGTTTTAGTAGATGCAATGTAATAATGCAATGTAATGATGCAATGCATTAAGAAAACAGGCCAACAATCGGCTGCTGAGAAGTCAGTGAACTTCTAGACAATTATTCTGGCACATTTGATCTTCTGTGGAGAAAAAGCAATTTGTACTTCAATGGGGAACCGAGATTTGAAATCATCAATGTTTAAACGATTGATCTCACTGGGGAAGTAACTTCTTGGGGAGAATACTACAAAAATGAAATTGTAGTTCAGAGAAAAACTTGAATTCTGATCAAACTCCCTACTTCACGGGGAATGAATT